CCGTTTCGGCCCTTCGGCGCGTCCTCCCAGGGCCAGACCCAGCGAGACGCCTGGGGCGGGACTCACGGCCCTGCGGGCCGCGGAAGCCACGAGGCACTCGGACGTCCGGGCTCTCCCGGCAGCGGGAAGCGCGCGGCCTGCCCGCCGCCTCAGAGAACCCAGGGGCCACCCCACCCACGCGCAAACATGATTCCAAGGGACACTTCGCCCAAGCCCCTCTGCGGACCTGACCCTTCGCCGCCAGCGCCGCCTTGCATCCTCCACCCCGCCCTCTCGCCCCTCAAGCCCCCCTTCTCAACTGGTACTTTTCACTGGAGAAGCGTGTGTCGACCCTCGCAGGTCTACGCGCTCCAAAGCCGCCCCGGAGAGCGTCCGCGGGCTGTGTCGCCTCCTTGTCTCCTGTCCTCGCGACTCCGAGATCTGACTCCCACCTGGCCATCCGGCAGGGCCCACCCACGCTCAGACCCCTCTAGTGTGCATTTCCAGACTCCTCCTCGACTTGAGCTGGCTGCCCCTGGGACTGCGCTGACGACCTTCGCCAAGCAGAAAGAGCCCCTTGGCTTGACTCCTCGACATGACTCCAGAGCCTCTCCAAGTCAGGCCTGACGTCTCCCAACCCAGCTTGGCTGCTCTCCCTGCCTCTGCGGAGCCGGCTCGCCTCTTCTCTTGCTCAGTCTACATACTCTGGCTGGGATTTTGAATCCAGACCAGGGCTCCATCATCCACATGCAAATGACTCCCCGAGGGATTCCCTCAACCCAGACCCCTCCTCTGAGCTCCTGGACTGGCTATGCAGCTGGCTGCTGGAAGTTTCCTGTTGGCCCCAACAGGTATGGATGCTGCAACTCAATATAAAAAAACCTTCCCCTCCAAGTTTGCTTCTCCTTCTGCAGAACTAAGTGAATGGGACCATCTAGGCAGATATCCAAACCAGATACTGAGGAGTCCTTTTTTTTGAGTTGGAGTCTCACTCAGTCGCCCAGACTGGAGTGCAGTGGCCACTCCCAGCCACCGCAGTCTCGGCATGCTGGGCTCTGGCGATCCTTCTGCCTCAGTCTTCCAAGGAGCTGGAACTACAGGCGTGTGCTACCACGCCTGGCTAATTTTTGGTTTATTTTAGCGACGAGGTCTCACCAAATTGCCCAGGCGGGTCTCAAACCCACGGGCTCAAGCAATCCACTCACCTTGGCCTCCCAAAGTGCTGGGATGACAGGCTGAGCCACCAAGCTCGGCCAAGGAGTCCTTTTAAACCTCTTTCCTCATTATCTTATCAGTCAGCTGTTCACCAGGTTCTGCTAATTCTACATAAAATATCTCCTCATACATTAATCAAATATCCAGTGTCCGTTAACCATGATGATAGCAGAAGCGGCACCAGTTGCTGCCCCTTGCTGGACACTTACTAGGAGCCAGGGACCATTCTAAGCTTTCTGCATAAATGGAGTCATTTAGCCCTCACAACAACCCTATGAGATAGGTATCGTTATCACCCCCAGCATACTGGCATTCAGAGATTAAGAAACGTGTCCAAAATTCACACAGCTAGTAAGTGGCCAGGCCAGAATTCAGATTTCAGACCCAGAACTTCCCAGCACCAAAAAACATGCTCTCAGTCACTGCCCTGGCTCCCTCCTGAGTGCCAGGCAATGCCCTAGGCTCTGGGAGTGCAAAAGTTCACAGTCTAGCGGAGAACACGAAGGAGCAAAGAAACAAGCCCAGTACAGGACGGTGTACGCCAGGGTAGGGAAGTACAAAGTGCTACAGAGCACAGGCCTGAAACAGCTAACCTGGCCTCGGGGAAGTCAAGGAACATTTCCCAGAAGAAAGAATGTCTAGGTTAAGGCCTAACTGAAGAACAGCCTGGCTGGGGGAGAGCAGGGTGTTCAGGCCACGGTGCCAACATAAGAGAAGTCTTTGATGGGAGACTGTGGCACCTTCAGCAAAGGAAATGAAGTTCAATATGGCTGGGGTATAAAATATGGGGGGGGGCGGGATCGGTGGCTCAGCCTGTCATCCCAGGGCTTTGGGAGGCTGAGGTGAGTGGATTGCCTGAGCCCGCGGGTTCGAGACCTGCCTGGGCAGCGAGACCTCATCTCTACAATAAATCAAAAAATCAGCCGGGCATGGTAGCGCATGCCTGTAATTCTGGCTACTTGGAAGGCGGAGGCGGAAGGATCGCTGGAGCCCAGCAGGTCGAGGCTGCGGTGGCCGGGAGCGGCCACTGCACTCCAGTCTGGGCGACAGAGTGAGACTCCAACTCAAAAAAAAAAACCAAAGAAACAAAAACCCAACAACAACAACAACAACAACAACTATATATATATATATGGGAGAGAAGGCAGATAAAACAGATCATTAAGAGTCTTACCTTAAATATCTAAAGAAATTTGGATATGGGGGCTTTACAGTGAGAGGGACAGAGATCCAGGGAGGGGTTTTAAGAAAGAAGTGACGTGGCTGGATTTGTTGCAAGTCCATCTGGCAGTGTCCTGACCCCACCTCTTTTTACCTGGACCACTCAGTAGCTTCCTAACTGGCTTTCCAGCCTCTAGACCCATGTTATACAATAAGGCAGTCACATGTGATAATTAAAAAAAATTGTTTTTTCTGAGTCGGAGTCTCACTCTGTTACAGGCACACACCACCATGCCTGGCTAAGTTTTTTATTTATTATAGGTGCCAGATCTTGCCATGTTGCCCAGGCTGGTCTCGAACTCCTGGGCTCAGGTAAACCTCTCGCTTCAGCCTCCCAAAATGTTGGGATTACAGGTGTGAGCCACTGCGCCTGGCCCCGTTATTTACATTTAGGCAAATAAAGACTCAATACGGGTTAAGTTAAACGCCTCCATCACACTAGCCACATTTCAGGCGCTCAACAGCCACATGTGGTTAATGCCCATATTGAATAACACAGGTTAAGCCCATTTCTATCATCCCGGACAGGGTCGCTCTAGTCCCTCCAACCTGTACTCCGAATTGAAGCCAGAATTGCCGTTGTTAAAGATACATTTGCTTTGCACCCCCGTGCCTTAACGGCCTCTCATGGGTCTCCGCCATCACTCTACAGAGTTCAAATTCCTTGGCAGTGCATATGATGTCTTTCCAAATGTAACCTTCTCCCAGCTCTCCAGCCTTTCTTATTTCTCTGCAAGCTCCAAACTGTGAAACTTGGCTCCCACGCGACTTCCTTTCGCTTACTTTCCTGCCTTTGCATCTGTAGTTCGCGCTGCCAGAAAGGAATCCCTGCTGACGGACGCGGGGCGAACCCGTAATGCGACTTTCAAGACTCAATTCAAGCGTTTTTTTCTTCCCAGGCCTGCCCGGTCCCCTGCTTCCCAGACGCCGGGCTGGGTGCCACCCCTCCCTCCGCCAGAGCACGTATCACTCGGAAATGCAGTCGTCGGTCCGGGAGTCTGCACCCTTCCCAGAAAGCCAGTTCTTGGACCACAGGGATCTTTCTCTCCATCCCCAGCACCCGGCTTGGAGAAGCCATCAATAAACGTGAACGAAGCGCCAGCGCCAGGACCCGAGGACTGGGGAAGGGGTTTGAGACAAGCAACTAGGTGAGGAAATTCTGGTTTGGACTTGGGAGGGGGAAACGGGCGAACCGGCCCGGGGCTCACATACCCGAAGTTTTCTTCTCCACCATTTGTACAACCCAGCTGCCGGAAGAGGCTAGAGCGCACGCGTACTAAACCAGACCGCTTTGGGAGGGGCATCTTCACTTCCGTTGGCGTGTGCTTCTGCGCGTGCGCAGGGCAATTCCCCACGGCCGGGACTCGTTACGTGGTGTTCCCTTGGAGACGAGAACGCTTTCCGCCATGTTTTATAGGGGCAATGCTACTTCCGGCCTGGGTGGGGTTGCGCGAAATCTGTGGGGGCCACGAAGTGGGTCGTTTTAAAGAGATGGCGCGGGTGGTCTTTGGAGAAGAGTTACTTCCTCTGGCCTTCCTGAAGATGGCATCGTCACGGAGGCAGCCTCTGAAGCCCTTCC